TTTAGATCTCTTTATATTTGTTTCTTAACAACTTTATTTATTTTTTGATCATAGCCATAACATTAATCACATTTTGTTGATAAACTGATTAGCAGTTATGGCTTTGATGATTGATTTGATTGACCATATTCCATCTTCACTTGCATTTTAGCTTCATAAGTTATTAACCTGAGCACGCTTCACTTTGCTACAGCACCACAAACTCACGAATTGTTCTGTTCCACACTTCCAGAAACATAAGCAGCGCAAAATATTTCTCTATCTCTTCATTCCTTGAATTTTTCGAAACATCTTCTGCTCCCTTTTTTAGAATTAACTCTCGTTTCGTTCTAGTTGCACCTAAGTTCGCCGGAGGAGGCATTAAAGACCTTCGCCTCAAAGTTGGCGAGACTATCAAGTATGATGTAGCAATCACTGGCGAACCTCTTCCTGAGGTAGCCTGGATTGTCGACGGAAAATCATTGAAACCTGTTGGCAGAGTAAAAATGAGTACAGAAAGAGGAAAGACGAAACTGAAGGTCAGCGTGGCGCTTCAACTCTTTGGGCTCCCAGCTAAAAATAACTTTTTAGATTGAAAACGCAGAACGATGCGACTCTGGACAGTTCACTGTCATTTTGAAAAACATTAGTGGCATGGCTGACAGTTCTGCAAGGGTTACTGTAGTGGGTCGACCAACTCCACCTAAAAGTGTGCACCACCACTCACATCATCATCGATCACTGTCAAGAAGTGAATCGATGCTTGCTCAGACTATGAGATCGAGAATCTTTGAAAGACCTGGAAATGGGAAAACAAATTAGTTTTAAAGCGAATGTGGAACATGTGCGGCTCTCCACATAATGAGTTGGTCGAGGCAGGGAATTGAAAGAATGTATGTTTCCCTACATTTCGAAGGTTTCAGTTTTTGAGATTGAAAGTAGCACATTAAATGTTCATGGTGTGACCATTAAGAGTTAATGGAAGGTTAAAATACGCAATCAACGCAACTGGCCGATATCTTTGCATCGGTTGAGCGATAAGATTTGAAAATACTATTTCATGGGGCCTTCATTGCACTAATACTTGTATGGTTTGCGCTTTTGACATAGATATTTCATTCCAAAAGCATTTGAAAGCAATCTTTCTTTCCACTTTTATTCTTCAATCTCTGCTATAAGTAATCATGACGCACCCAATAAAAAACAACACTAATAGCTATTTTTTCTTTAAGTG